TTGTTGACTTGTGTATCCCTTCACAAAGGGGTAGAGGAAAAGTTCTGGAGTTGTGTACTCATTTATTTTTGAGGAAAATTCAAAGGAATAAAATATATGAAACTTCACTTCCAGCTGAAATGATTTGGATCTATGAGTTCTGGCATGAGAAGCTTATGACAGCTGCTAATTTAATTGATTTCACTGTGATGGAGATCTTGCCAGGGGGAGGATACAGCAAAAATCAGTATCTTTATGCTTGAAGATACTAAATGTAAATTTGGGTGTTTACTTCTGCATTTCAGTTATACTACAGAAGCTATTGGAAAGGTTACTACTAGTGATCTGGGGGGAACAAGGTTGTAATGTTCATGCTAAATCAGGGAAACCAAACTGTGGGTCAAATAACAAAGCTATACAATGTCAAGTTCTCCATACTAGGTTTTAAAGGCTTTTTATTCTTTTTGTCAGATGATAGAATGGTTCATATGCACATCAGTTCAAATATCCGAGCTTACTGCAGAAAGCTTTAGTTATTGCTAGTGTTGGAGAGCAGGGAATCAAATTTTGAAAGCAGCTCCGTTAGAGATGCATCAGATCTAGAGGAGCGAATGTAGGACTTTGCATAAAAACCCTGCTGTTTTGTTAGTGACCCTACTGTAAATAAATCAGAGGGTAGGCATTCAGAAAAACAAAGTAGAAAATAACCCACTCTAAATATCTGTCCAAACAAACAACCTTTAATTTGGTGATAAGGTATATTCTTTAAGCACTTGATGTACTTTAAGCATAGAATAGAAAACATATTTTTGTAAGGTTATCCATTTAGTAGTTGCCTTTTCTTTTAGTGTAATTGAACAAGTAATAAACCACCTTCTTCAGACACTGAGCAGTGTTAGACTGAGCAGAAAAAAACCAAACTGATTCTGGCAGTGAATTCACTCAAGCTGAAAATGGGCTCAAGCTGCGCCAGGGGAGGTTTAGGTTGGATATTAGGAAAAATTTCATCACAGAAAGGGTAGTCAAGCATTGAAACAGGCTGCCCAGAGCGGTGGTGGAGTCACCGTCCCTGCAAGTGTTCAAAAAACGGCTAGATGTGGTGCTTTGAGACATGGTTTAGTGGACTTGGCAGTGTTGGGTTGACTATTGGACTGATGGTCTTAGAGCTCCTCTCCAATCCTAATGATTCCTAGTTTTTACTTTCATTCTAAAGAATCCAGCCACCAAGCCAGGAAACACAAAATTGCTACTCTACCCTTAATTGGTTTAGTGGTGGACTTAGTAGTATTAAGTTAATGGTTGGACTGGATGATCTTAAAGGTCTTTTCCAACCTAAATGATACTATGATTCTATGAAAATACTTGTTACCCAGTTATTTCTTGAAAGTACAGGTAGCTGGAGAAGTATCTTGCCAGGTATTGTGAACTGTGCTCTATTTCATTGTAAGATATGTGGGTCAGGTTCAACTTCTTGGAAAGAAATTCTGTGAACTAAACTTCTTATAGGATACTGAAAGGCACAGAAGTTGCAAGAGTTGTCTCTGCTTTGTGATTAGTGAGGGCTGGTCCACTGAGGTGGATTCTGAAGTGTTACAGTGTGTAGTGGTGACTTCAGAAGACTGATAGCCTCATTTAGATCAAAAGACAAGGATCATGTAATAGGCTGTTATGCTGCTAGGAAACATGTATCTTCTTGTACTGATGATAGAAATGGGCCATCCTAGAAAGCAAAACCTTGGTTTGTATCTGAAGCACCAGATGGTATTTCTGCTTAGGATTCAACTGGTAGATGGCTTGTACAAGGCTGAAACAGGCTTCTTAAATAAGAAGGAATTTTTTTAAAAAGCTTTTCAGTCTGTGGTCCTCAACAGTAGGCTTGTACACTAGGAACTCAACTTTCTTTTAGAAGGAAGTGTGTTCTCTAAGCCTCTAAAATTTTGGGGTGAGCAATGGGTTTACAAGGAGGTCAGACACTTACACTTGTGGATTTCTTGAGACTTGGACATAGTATTGAGTTCAAATTTTTTACTTCTATAGGTGATGGCCATCTATATATAGACAGAATTTTATTTATATGTAGAAAAAAATTATTTATATATCAAACATATACAGATTTTATATAAAAATTATCTATTATCTGTATCTGTATGCACATATTAGTTTTTATATATAATGTATGTGTATACATAATAAAAATAATTTTTTTGGAGGTTAACTGTCCTTTTCAGCATGGAATCAATTTGTATTGTACTGATCAACAGAAGCTTAAACTCTTGGGTGTTAAAAGACTTGAATAAAGTGGTTTTGAAATGACACACTGACAGTCTAGGTTAATACTTTAAGTATTACGCTTGAAAGTGCAGCAGAATCCAAGCCTTTTTCAAAAATCATGGTATAGTTTTAACGTAATAGCTTAAGCTGTTGTCAGACACTGCAACTGGAGCATTGTAGTTGGTGTTTTGAACCTAACCACTTTGGAATTTCCTGTCAATGCATTAAACATCGTGAATGAGCAACATTCACCTTTGTCTGCTCTTCAAAATTAAACAGTATCAGCAGGCCAAAGCTTTGTAGAGCTATCATCTCTGGTATATGACATGATCTTAATTCCAGGATATCTAATTAGAATGGGCTTTTGCAAATGGATTAGATCTTGTCTAACTCTTTTACACAGCAACAGTTTCAAAGATGTGGAGTATTCCATGTTTAAATTTACTTTCTTTTCCCCCCCTTCCTAGTTGAACCTGTTGTGAGCTTAACAAAAGGACCAAACCCTCTAATAGATGGTGCAAATCGGACAATAGCAGCCACTTGTACAGCAGCCACTGGAAAACCTGCTGCAGAGATTGACTGGGAAGGAGGTCTTGGTGAAATGGAATCCAGCTCTAATTTGTTTCCAAATGAAACAGTGACAGTTGTTCTACACGATTTGCAAGAGGAAGGCGTATAACTTGTGTTGTGAGGCACCCTGCTTTGGAAAAGGAGATAAGATACCCTCAAGTGTTGGACATTCAGTGTAAGTATTCTGTAAGGTAGCTACTACTTTGTATGTATCTTGCAACCACCCTCTTTATCAGTGTATACCTTCCACAGGAAGGAGATGAGTGCACTTCCTGCTTCAGGAAAAAAAGGGAAATTAAAACTGCATAGAAAAGCATGTGATAAGAAGTAGGTCGGGCAGGAGTAGAAACCTAGGGTCTCTGTATTAAGAAAATAAAAATCTAGTCACAAAGCTAGAATACCATTATGTTTCTACCATTTGTTTTGGATATTCGCTCATGGGTAAACATTATTATCTGTGTTTATATTTCACATTGAAAAGATTACAGACAAAATAACAAACTCAATTGATCTGTAAACTGTTTATAGTGCCTTATAATTTCAGCAGTATTAAAAAAGAATTCTAATGAAGATTCGTGTTTGAGATAAGTTGAAAGTAGGTCTTATGAGGGTCAGTAAGTTATTTTCAAATTATTCACTAAACTTTTTCCACTCTAATTTGCATAAGGAAACAAGAACATAAGATATACACTCCTAACATTTGTTATTCCACCTGAAGAGGTTGCACATGTAATTCAAACCTGTACCAGGCTTGTTTAACAAATTCGTGGATTTAAAACAACAGAATACAAAGTGAGATGACTTACAGTGCTACTTAGCTAAAACTAGTTAAGACAAACAAGCTTTAGGCATGTGATGCTTTAGGCATTTTTTTTCTTAGACAATGTGTACGTGACCAAAATGAGTTATTTTCAAGTTCTTCCTTTGGTATCCTGTCTCAGCTGTGTGCTGCTTTAAAGTTCCTAAATCATAGAATTCTGTCAATTCAATTAAAAGAAATGTAGTGGCTGAAAAAAGTAAACTTTGCTATTTTGGTTTGACTTCCCTTAGGCTTACAGCTCTCTGCTGTAGGAGCTTATACCAAATGTTACTCATTCTTCTGTTTTCTGGGTTCTGAATGTTTCAGCTAGGTGTCTCTGGCTTATTTGCAGTGGCCTCCTAGCTTTTTAGAGCCGTAACAACATAATTCTACACTATGATGCCAGTGGATAACTGTCAACCTTTTTAACTGACATCTGTGAACTTTTTGATGATTTCCTAATAACCTGGCTTCTAAAAACACTGTTTCTGATCCTTTGCTGTTATCTTGTTAGTGAGATATAGAGAGAGTAGGTGTACATCACCGCCATTCCTCACTTCCAAAAAAGATAAAACTGATTCTTTTCTTCTGAGGTACTTTCACTTCACCAAAGTGCTGTATGTTTGCTGAAAACACACAGTGGGACAGTTGCACTGATTAAAAAAACTTACTGTTCCTGATCTAATCCACTGCTGCATATTAGGCTGTAGCTTGGAACTGTATTGGTGTTCTCTGTGTATTGTTGTTGGTTTTAAACTTAAAAAAAAACAAAAAAAAACAAAACCCAAACCAAATCAAAACCCAAAAAACACCTTCTACTCCATTGAGCTGACCATTACACACAGTTTGTGTTTAAAGAAAATATTGTGATTGTTGATAGGTTAAATCTTGTTTTGTCAGATGCCCCAGAAGTTTCAGTAACTGGCTATGATGGAAACTGGTTCATTGGAAGAGAGAACGTTCAGCTCAGATGTAATGCTGATGCAAATCCATTACCTATGGAATTTATGTGGACCAGGTAACTATTTATAAAAAGGGGCTTGCCACATGATTAAAGTGGTATCATCTTTCAGTGTACAGTAAACACCTGTTTGGAAAACAAGAAATATATGACTTGTATTGGGTTATAATGGTATTATCCAGCCTTTTAAAAGGATGATACAAGATGTGTGTATGTATAAATATGGGTGAGTGAATATCTTGTAAATTTACAAGCATGAACAGTTGGTCATTGCTCTCAGAATAAAATCTTTTGTAGTTACTTGATACACTAAACTATGTATGATGCAGCATATAGATAGGGATCCAACTATTATTTCATTAGCTTTGTTTCATTATTATTTAAAATAAATTGTAAACACTTGAACAGACTTTTCAGTATCTACATCTTAAAATCTGAAAATTAGAGTTGAGATAGCAAATATTGCTTACTGAATTACGGAATTTGTCATATTTTTCAAAAGTGCTCAAGTAGTTGCCAAGACAGATAAATGCAGTGTTTTGCGTAGTGATGGAAACTAGGTCTTGAACATATGTCTCTAGTTTAAAAAAAAAAAAAAATCTTACATAACAGCTGCATTTCATGAATATATAGATTGGGTGGGCCCTACTCTGAAACTTTCTGCTTTGGTTTTGCAGCCATGAATGTACTTTGGGCAAGAGACAGAGGAAGACAATAAAAGCAAGCATAGATTGAAATCTGCCCTGTGAAGGAAAAAAAAAATTAAATAAACCTAGCTATTTTAAATTGATTTGTTGCCTGTAGAAAGAAAGGAAATTTTCCGAAGGACAATGTAAATTTATATAAAACAGTGCTGCTGTTGGGGAAAACCATAGGTATATTTACTGATGTGAAGCTGTAATCCGTTTCCCTACCTTATGAATGGTAGATATAATTTAGCATATAGGAACAGTAGTCATAATGTGGTTTGAAAATGTTGTATTGATAACTTTGGAATTGCTTGATAGCAGTTTCACAGGAATAATGGACTCAATCCTAAAAGCAGCCAGTGAAATCTTAAGTCAGTATTGTGGCTAACTCTACTCAGAATGGCATGGCTACGCTAAAGTAGGTTTAGCGAAATGTATCCCTTAGTAAAATGTGTGCTTTACCTACACGCTACAGTAGGCTGCCATCCCTTTTCCATGCATAGCTCAAATTCAGTGTGATGAGAGATTTCAGCATGCAATATTCCTGTGTTTAAAAAAGCATGACAGGCTCTCAACAGCACTACTGCTCGTTTCTTCAGATTAACTGGGTTCTCGGTTCTCTGATTTGCATTTCAGATATATGTAAGAACTAATCAATACGACCTCTATTTCCAATTCCAGAAGAAATACACACCACGCTTCAAAGCACTTCAAGCTTCAGAGGTCACTTTTAAACTTTCTAAGGTTAAAACTGAACAACTTTTACAATAAAAACTTAATTTTATGGAGTAAAACTAGTGTACCTTTTTGTTTGAGGAACAACAAAACCTATCCAAGAAGCTGTTATACTGGTGAATGAGGAACTTCAAGGGGAAAGAAAAAAATCTATGCAAAAGGATAGCTTGAGTGTTTAAGGAAATGGAAACTAGCTGTATTGAAATTGTGTGATATCTTACCAGTGTCAAATTATAGTAGCTTTTAGAATTATCACACCAAAAAATCTTTATCCCTTGGAAGCAAATGTGATGTTGTATTTGCTAGTATAGTAATATTTTCATGGTCAATAATATTTTAAACTGTTGCATGTATGAGAATTTATTAGAATAGAGCTTTCAAACTAATTGGCTATTTTATAATGTTTTTTTGAAATGCTTCTGGTACTAGGAATTATGAAGTACATGCTTAATCACTTTTATCAACTTTATATGGCTGAAGCAATTCTAGGCAATAATCATTGTCAGCAAAAAATGTTGTCTTGAACCTACATTTGTTGGAGATCATGTTTACTGTTAACTGTGGGGTTTTTTCTATTTGAGTACCTATTTTAAAGTGTTGGGGTGGCTTTTTTGTTCGATATTACTTATAAAATCATACTTGCTAAATGCTTCCAAGATACTGAGACCTGGCGATCACGTTTGAATATTGACTTAGTCCTGCTTAGCTGTTAATACTTAGTTAAAAGCAAAATGGGATGCAATGGCATGAAATTACACAGGTGTTTAATGGACAGTTGGCAGCTCTGTTAAAACAGTTCCAGTGCCTCTGCCCTTCCCCCTTCCTCTGTTGTGCTTACACAGTTGTTAATGCAATCACATGCAGAATGCTCCAGGGAAACGATAGATTTGGAATAGCCAGTTGATTGGAAACAATTTTTTTAACCAGTTATTTCACCAAGTGTATCACTAAGCACCAAACTCTGTTTCAGTGCTGTAATTTAGATGGAAAAGTGATGGGGGATGAGAAAAGGCAGGCTGAGAGGGAAGAAACTGCTTGAGCTCTTCCTCAGAAATCCTAGTCAAAATGTCCTGTAAGTTAAGTGTACTGACAGAAATACTTATTGTGATAGCTCAACTGGATGGAAAAGAACAAGCAGATAATCCTGACAGCAGTGTAAGTGCATCTTGGTTTGACTGTTAGTTTTTAGAGCTTGAGTTGGATTGTTCCTCCAGGTTCTTTTGAGATAATGTTTTCTTAGTTGTAGTCATGTTCATTTGTAGACAGCTCGCTAGTGCCAGCAGACTTGATATTCAAGGGACTTGGCACAGAAATTAAAATAGTAAATGTTGAGGTGGACACTGAGAATATCCAATGAAAGCCCATTGAGAACGTCGGAGCACAGTGAAAAGATCACTCTAGACTATTGCAAATATTATTTTCAACTAGTTATATTTAAACTTTAGTCTTAAAGATTCACAGCTGAAATATAACTGTTTTGTTTTAGGTTGGATGGACAATGGCCTGAAGGATTACTGTCTGTCAACAATACTCTGCAGTTCAGCAGCCCATTGACTTACAACTACACTGGGACTTACATCTGTAAGGTGACTAATTCACTTGGTCAGAGAAGTGATCAGAAGACTATCTACATACTAGGTAAGTCTTACTTCTCAGCAAAGACAGTATGTTAACTTGTAATTTTTTTTGGTCAATAGTTGAAATAGCAAACTGAAGAGCAAGTTGATGCATAAAATATTTACAACTTTTAATTGTGTGAAAAGCTATTGAAAGTACGGTTTTGAGAGCTACAGTAAAACCTGGGATTAAACTGACCCTTCAATAACAGCAGCTTACAGTGGAAATTCTTAAAGTTGAGGCAGTTCCCATAGTGCTTCTGAGATTATTACTTTCTCTTGGTAGGTGAACTTTGGGTTTGTTTTTTTTCCCCAGTGTTAACCTGCGTTTTGGCAAGATATATTGACTGCAATAAACAGTACCTTGTCTGTAACAAATTGAAAAAGCAGATGTTAGTAGGAGGGGAACAACTACATTTAGAAAAGTCAAAGATGCTCTCCTCTAAGGAAGTTAGGGCTATGTTCTAAATGTGTTCATTGTACTCCAGTTACTCGTTGTGTCCTTTTCTCGGGGTGCAGATATCCAGTAATCGTAAAGTTAAGTATCTCATGCAGAAGTCTTGCTGATCAACTTAACATAATATGGCAAATTTGTGTGTCTGTTTAGCACCACTGCTGTTGGAAAACATCCTTATATCTATTAACACAATGTAATTAATGTTTTACTGTGACACCTTCTTTGTGAAAGAACAGCATGACTTAGGATATATGTGAATAGTGCGGTACAAGTGTGAAAAAGCTCTCCAGATTTCCATATTGGATTAGCTAATACCTAGCTTGATCAGTAAGGGTTAATATAGTATAATTTTTTAAGGAAAATAATAGACATGAAAATTGAAACTTCATTCTGTTGTTTGGTGTTGCTGCTCTGCCGTAAGTTCTTGACATTAGTTATTCCACAGTGTGAATTAAGTGTCAGAGTGCATGTTGGCCAGTTACAGGATACAAACATAGATGACTTCTTTGTAAGAACTTAAAACTAAATATGAATGCTTAAGGGTTGAGATGAGAATGAAAACTTAAAACTAAAACTGGAGGTACAGTATGTTTGAAGCCACATCTGTCACAAGTCATATTTGATAGTTATCTGCATCTTTAGAACAAAGGATGGTGTTTCAGTCAGACTGACATAACTACAGTGTAGGCCATTGTGGAAAATTAGTAAGCTCTAATTAATTGACTAGTTAATGAGCTAGTTAACTGGAAACTTCTGAATAGTCTGAGACAGTGGAGTTATTTGTAAACAAATTATATAAAATTCTAGCTATTGAAAGACTGTCAAGTGTTGCAAATTAATATGAAAGTCATTTCTGTGAGAAGTTACTTTTGGATGCTTGCATTTCTGTGAGAAGTTACTTTTGGATGCTTGGTTCTAATGCTTCCTTTATGGAAAACAACTCATGGCTGTGTAACAGCCTCAAAACAATTAAGAAGACTTGTCACATTGTAACAATGTCACATTGTAAGAAGTATCAAGTAAAAAAAAAAAAACTAGATCATAATCATTAAACAGATTAAATATTCTCCTGAAATGTAACATTCAAATACTCAGAAAATAACAATATGGTTTATAGCTCTGTTCTCAGCCCTATTCTAACTGTAAGGAGGGTGGAAGTTTTTTTTCCAAGTCCACCGCTTTTCAAGTTGTCAGTTCTATGAATGTGATCTGCTGTAAGTAGAACTCATGCTTTTTACCATGAGTGTCATGCATCAAAATATAAGGCTGTCATTCAAATTATGTTTGCGACTAGCAGACTAAAATGGCCTAACTATGAAATCTTATATGAAGTTCCTAAAATAAATCAAGTTTTTGAAAAAAACATGCTAGAAATACATCCTAGTTGAGCTGTGGTGATGGCTTATGTTCTAGCCTATGGCAAATGCAACATAAACTAACTTACTACAGAGATAGTTAAGCTGCAGTAGTTAGTCTTTGGTATGGACTGATGGATACTGTTTACATGTGTGCTGCTTTTCAACTTTGTTCAGCAACCTTTTTTTTTTTTTGTTGCAGTAACTTTATTGCAAATAGTAAAACTTGGCTGTTTTTACAGAGTGGCAAAATTGAACCTCAGTTAGCTAGAGATAGTACAGAGTCATGGATCTACAGGTTATGTGCACCAGTAGAAACAAATACTTTAGTTGACATTAAATTTCAGTTTTTAAAAATTTCATGTTAATCTTGGAGTGTGTAGCATGACCAACATCTAAGAAAATAAAGGTGATTTTCAGGCAACTTTAAAATAAATCTGGTGCTGTGTTACTACAACTAATGCTTGGGCAAGATGTACACATCAGTTTAATGCCAAGACAAGCATCCAGCGCTCTGCTCTAGGTACCTTAGAGAAGATTATACCAAACTGATTAAAAGCGCTGTGTATTAACTTTTAGTATATAGGAGACTTGATTAAAATGAGAGGCGAGGCAACCATATGGCACCTGTATTGTTTTCGGAAATTAATATTAAGCGCATTTTATTGTAACTCTTAAGAATAACTTTGCAATGTGACTGGCTCTTTAAATAATTGAAATGCCCTTAAAATGATGCAGGATGGATAAGTGACTATGAAATAGCAAAAATGTCCATCTTAAATAATAATCATTCAGCTTACTCTACAGAGGGAACATAGACACTGATGTCAGCAGTACAGAAAATAAGACTGAAGTAGTAAGCTTTAAGTCAAACTGTCTACTACCTTAATATTTGACTTACTGAGCAGATAATATCTGTTCATGGTGAACATGGCACTGCTGTACTGTGGAGCAATCATTTAATTAGCTTCTTTTTCTATCTTAGCTATTTTCCACTGTATAAAACTTGGCAAAAACATAAAGTGAAACTTTGAAACCAGTAGACAAGGCTGTATGATCACATTATTTTTCAAATTGTAATTATGAAGCTGTCAGAGGATTTATGAAGTTAATGTTTCTGAACAGTCATGATGCTGGTAGTTGTAAAGCTTTTTAACTGCTAGAAAAAATAACTGTTAAGTTGAAATGTTTTGTAGGATTGGAATGTCAGCTGAGCAAAAAATGGTTTTGGTCCTAATATGCATTGGTAAAAAAAAAATAAATGTATTTTTAATAAATTCTGTTGTGCTTCTCACCGTTATGTTAATACTCTTGAAGCGGAGTAGGGAAATATAAGAGAAGTAGTTGACAGGGACTAAATGATACATTCACCAGCTTTTAGTTTAGTTAGGAGATGATACATCTTTATATGGATAGGGAAATACTAAAATGGTGTTTGAAGCTAGAGACTTTTTTAAATTATGGTTTTAAGGCACAGGTATCTTCACTATTTCTTACTTGTTCAGTGATGTAAAGTTAAACTTGGTTTGTATAGTTGTCCAGCAAAAGCAAGTCACACTCCTCATGGAGTTCAGAGGTGATCAAGTGCTGAAGTTCCTGGCTTAGTCTTATAGCAACAGGTTTTCCAAAACAAGCTGTCAGTTTGATATGTAAAGCATTTCATCTTATAATATAGACTTACTCATTTTTTTTTAAAAAAGGAATTGAACGTTATTTTCTTGGCTCTGTGTTCCCTCACCTTCATACTGTTTACTGAGGCTTCCTTGTTCTCCATTTGCAAGAGGGATGTGACCTGTGAGACTTGCATTCAGATAAGAACATATTTGCTTCCTCTGTCATCTTTTCAAGTGACTGCCTGTGGAGGAGACTACTTTTTGTTAAAAGTAAAGGTAGCCTTAGTTAGCCAGCAATCCTAGCAGTTCTAGGAACATACGACTTATAAGTACAGCCACCTTCTTGTAGAGTAAATA